CCCGGCCGGGCCGCTGTCCTCTGCTCAGCGGGCGCGGGATGAAGCCTTGGAGCTGGATCCAGGGGCCGCCTCGTGGGTCCGGCCCCTGGCCTGGTTCTGGTGGTGGGGGATGAAGCCAGACGGGTCTCGGTGGTGGCAGGTGACAGAACAAGGAACAACCATCTCAGGTTGCAGTAAGGGAGGGCTAGGCTGGATATTGGGAAACACTTTCCGACTAGGAGGGTGGTTAGGCACTGGACCAGGCTTCCCAGCGAGGTGGCGCTATCTCCATACTTGGAGGTTTTTCAGATCTGCTAGACAAAGCTCTGGCTGGGATGATCTGGTTGGGGACGTTCTTGCTTGGAGCAGGGGGTTGGACTAGATGACCTGCGGAGGTCCCTTCCAACCCTCGTTTTCTGTGGTTGGCCACATAAGCCCAGAGGGTCAAAAACAGCCTGACCCCTGGCAGTCTGTCTCTGAGTTTGTTGAGAACAATGGCTTTGTTATTTTCCTATAGTGCAGAAACTGAGTAAAAACTAAGCTGATATTTTCCTGCCGGTGCCTTGAGCCTCAGGAGGTTTAAACCAGGGGTGAGCAAAATAGCAGATCTGGCTGGTGGCTGGAATCCATTTCCCAGCAGTCCTTGCCCCGGTCGCTCTGGCCAGTTTCCATGGAGACCCCAGCAGTGGCAGGGCCATGATGAGGCAGGGCCCCGGTTTCCATGGAGACCGGCCCCAGCAGTGCTGGCAGGACATGCGGCTGGGCAGGGAGCTGCTCTGGGGCCAGGCCTGGCGTGTCTCATGGTGGTGAAATCGTGGTCTGGAGCCAGGACAGAGTTGCAGTCTGCTGCCTGCCTGATCCAGCTGCAGGGTGGACTTTGCCCGCCCCCGGTTTATGGCAGCTGCCCAGCTCCAAGGTTCTTGGCACTGAAATCTGATGTATCTTCTAATGTGAAATTAAAGGTGGTAACGAAGCTTTCTGTTGTGGCACAGCTTCTGTTTGAGTAACTGTGGGGCTTGCTTTGAAAATCTGCCACCTGCTGGAACATAAAGGTGTGTCTTGATACTGCATGAAAAGGCTAAGTGACAAAGAGAGATCACTTCAGAGGCCTTTGAAACATGTACTTCCACGGATGCAAGTGTAACTAGATCAGCTCAGGTACGTGGAACTTGACTTGGACATGTTAGGCCCTTGGCTGCTTGTAAGTCTTCAAGGACAGTCAAGACTTTGACTTGTCCTTGTTAGTTACCTTCAGGCATTTTCTGTTTGCCTTATGTTGTATAATCTCTGAAGAGAACAAGAACCTGTTGATGTGGATTCCTTATTGGTGAGCAAACTGGGATTAGTCGAAAAAGAGAATCTCTTTTAGAGGTAGTCTTCAGCTGGAACAGGAGGAATTTGCTGCTCCTATTTGGAAGCTTGTGGAAAAGTTCACTTGATTTATAGTTCAGTCTGGTGTGTTATAGAGCCTCATCCTGCATGGTGATCCAACTTGAGATTTTTTTAAAGGCACCCTTTTAAAGAAACAGTAAGTGTATCCATGCTTTGAAATCATTAGAAAGACCAAGTGGTCTTATGAAACTACGCTGTTGAGGCTGTATTGGTTCCAGAGCTAGCTTGGAGGGTCTGCATGATGCTGACCTGCACTGTATAGTTGTGTCATCAAAGACCCTGGGACATATTTTGCCCACCCCTGTACTAAAGCCACTTGGCCTGCGTTGGACTGGAGCTAGATTGTTCCGGCCCGTGGCTCATAAAATGTTGCTGGCCCCTGATGTATAGTGTATATAAGGAATATTACATTATACACATAATATAATGTCAGGAACCCTTTTACCCTAGGCTGCATTATTTAAGAAGGCAAGACTTTTGATGCTGGATTAGATTCTAGTCATGGAAGGTAGATATGGGATAATTTGACCCCAGACTGTGTATTTTTCAAATAACCAGTAGTTGGTGATTTTTTCGCTTATATTTTAAATCATGAGATAGAGACAGCTCTGAAACTTTGTAATGTTAACTACAACTCTGAGTGAGCCTGCTACTGTTACAATTAGAGATCCTCTTTTGCAGCTTAGGCTTTCTACCTTAGTGAAAGCCTCACAAATTACATCCTGTGGTACTGAGTTCTGTTGCTGACCTGTAGAACTGAAACAATTCCTGTTTATTTGAATTGAATGTGCCATGCTTTAATTTAATTTAATGTAATTTGGCTCATGCACTATGAGAGCAATAGGTAGCTTTTGTTTTTTGAATGTCTCTTATTAAGTCTGTATTTTGAATATATTTATGTTAGATTTCTGATTGGATTGTGTCTTGTTTTTTCTTTAAACTGTTCTAATCATTTTAGTCTGTCCGTCCCTCCCCCCCTCAAAAAGCGTGTTCCTTCTGTTGCTTTCCTTGTTGTCTCTGAGTTCCCCTTAAATTCTACAATATTTTTCTTAGACAAGGTGACCAGCACTGTTCAGAATACTCCAGATGAGTCCATGCTACTAATTTATCGTTGCATATTTTATAATGAAGTGTATAAATAGTTATGTATTCTGTTTCTATATTTTTTTCTAGACACCCATGGGATACTGTAATCAAAGCTGCTATGAGAAAATACCCCAATCCCATGAATCCATGTGTAGTAGGAGTAGATGTGCTAGACAGAAGCCTTGACAACCAGGGAAGGTTACATAGTCACCGCCTTCTCAGCACAGAATGGGGATTGCCAAGTATTGTAAAAGCGGTAGGTAATTGTTACATCGAATAATTTACTGATGTAGTATCATCTAAACACATTGTCATCTGGATTCTGGGTTGAAAATAAAAACTTACCTTATAGAAGACCTTGTTTCCAGAAATTTTAAGGTGTAATCAGCACATCTGTTGCCAAGAGTGTCTGTGGGCTTATTAATCGCTTTTAAGATTATAGTATTTTCCCATGCTGGACTGTCTTCTTTCATGGTTTAAGCACCTGGCATGATGGGGTGTTACTCTTGATCAGGGTGTTCAGTTGCTCACAAATTACTGTGTAATGACACTGTGGAAGATCAGAATATTTTTATGGTTTCTTATATTGACTCTTTAAATATGGAAATCTGTCTTGCCTTCTAGATTTTGGGAACAAATAGGACTTTGACATACATCAAAGAACATTCTGTAGTAGATCCAGTGGAAAAGAAGATGGAACTCTGCTCCTCCAATGTAAGTGACAGTGAGATCAGGAAGCTTTTGATAATGACTTTTGGGAGTGAAACTTGTGTCTCATACCAGCATGAAGGGTTTCAGAAATAGCTATGAATGAAAACATGTTTGTCAAGACAGACATTTTCATTGGGAACTGGATAAGGCAAAAACTTCTGTGCGGCCCGTTTCCCGAATGCGCATTTTGCTATTGGCTTTGTTCATTGCAGGGATAGATAACCTAGATAAGAGAACTTTTACACAATTATACTTTTCATAAAAATATCTGAGAATATGGAAGTGAAACAACTGAGTAAAAGGTGATCTGATTAGTAATGTTCCTTTTGCTAATGTATGTTAAACAGCACCAGCAACTTGCTATGAACCTGCACAATGTATTAGCTGCCTGTTTTGCTTTGTTATAATATTCTGCAGCCTTAAGTTTGGTTTAAATAATGTGGTCAGTAAGAAAGCCTTATCCTTCTACAATAAACCCAGACTTCTCTGTTTTCTTGGAAATGGTAGTGGTACTTACTTTCCTGCAGAACCTTTCTGCTACTCGCATGCTGCAATTCATAGGCTCAACAGTCAGCAGTACTACTGAACTGCCCACTGTGTGGATTATGAGAGGGAAAATTGACTTAACTGTCATTGCATTTCTATGGGGGTAAGAAAAATTGCCGTTCAAAGGTGCATGGCTTTATAAGTGATAATGCTGTTGTTCTGCAGTTGGAATGATTTGACTGTCCTGTTTCTGCTATTAAGGGTAATCAGGCACTGCTTCTAAACTGTTGGTGGAAAAAGCTGATAGAGGAAGGCAAACTGAGTACTTAGGTTCTTGATTTTATTTTTAAGATTACCCTCACAAACTTGGTGTCGGTTGATGAAAGATTGGTCTACAGACCTCATCCAGAAAACCCTGAAAAGTAAGTAGGGTTGTTTGTGGATTTACTTGTTTGTGGGGGAGTATATACTATTTCCTTTCTATATTAATACTTATTTTTTCTTTGTAGGACTGTACTGACACAAGAAGCAATTATTACTGTAAAAGGAGTTAGCCTGAGCAGTTATTTGGAAAGTTTAATGGCAAATTCAATATCCTCCAATGCTAGAAAGGTATGTTTTTTGTTGGCAGTAATTGGACATGCGCTGCTAAATATTGCATTGAACATCAAAATCTGCAATCTTCTCTAATTTCCATTGAGTTGGTGGGTGTTCAGCAGGTGGAGCATAACTTACAGGGATAAATACTCAGCGTGTACAATATTAAAATACTAAATCCTTGTTGCTCTTGGTAGCATAAACATCATGGAGAATAGGTAACATGGCACATGCAGAGCTGCATTTAAAAAAAAAATCTAATAACTAAACCTGTATGCCAGCAGTTGACAAGCTGTTACTCCATGGAGCTCTTAAATGCTTGCTTCTGTTCAGTGTTAAAAATGGCTACTAGGGAAGAAACAAAGGCTGAGTGGCAAGTTAATTCATAAATGCACTTTTTGCATTGGTTGCACTGCTTATTTCAGTTTTATTTGCTTTAATTCTTGTGCACCATTATGTTCTAGCTTCTGTTTATGACATGAAAGAATCTAGAATAATGCAGTAGAAGCAGTTTCTGTACAGAGACTAAACAGTCCTTGTGTAAGAGGAGGGATGTTGGCTAGTTCCTATGCCAGCTGGTGTCAGTAACCCTCCCAGTTTGTTTATCCTGTGGAGTAGAGTTTGTCATAAAACCATGCTCAGGTATATTTTGTAAAATGTATTCTGCTCTGAGGCCCCTGGAGTAGTTTAACACATTACAAGGATGGGGAAAACAAACTCAGGGAAGGAGCAGTGGCAGATGATCCTGGGTCAGGTTTGGTGCACGGACAGAGCAGGGAACTGTTCAAGGTCAGTTTTATTCCCAGAGATGGCAAGAAGAGGGATGCATCTCAGCCCTCGTCTCCAAATACAAGAGGTCACTGGCATTGCTGCTCTAGGCATTTTGAAGTGCATTATTGACAGACAGATGGCCATTCTTGGTCACAAGAGTATTTAAGGGAGGAAAAATGAGGGGTCAAAGCATTTCACCAAGGAAGGGAAGCAAAGTGACTATAAAGCATTTGAAGTGAAGGACTGACAAAAAATGTATTTAGTGTTTAGGAAGGATCTGGAGTAAGTGAACGAACACTAAGAGCTGGGCAGAGTGACAGTAGCTGAGGGAAAGAACTGGGTGGCTGGGCTCTAATGGCACAGATTGTCTCTTTAAAATGGCAGCTTTGCATGAATATTCCTTCCTCTTAAACGTCATCACACTCTGCACTCCTCCCAATTCCACTATGAGAGGGGAACATGTCTGATCTTACTGTCCCATGACTCTTGATTGCAGTTAAATCCCTGGTGCATCAGCAGCTTTGTTTTAAAAGAAAAGGCCAGTTCTAATTAAAGTACAGTACAACTATAGAAAAGGCCAGGAGCCAATCTACTTAAAATGGTGAGGTCAAGCAGGCAAGCATTATTCTACCTTTTGCTCTCTCCCTTCACCCTTCCAAGTCATAATTCTGTGATCCCTAAGAACGGCATAAATATTCCTACTCTAACTGCCCCATCGTGGAGAGCTTGTCTTAATTGTTTTCTTTCTTCTTCCCTTATTATAAGGGAGGACACCTTCTGTTTAGACAAACTTATTACAAAGAAATAGCACTTCTGTGTTCATCTTGCTGCAGCTGAGTCCATTCATGGAGGCTGAACCTGGCAGGAATTTTTGTCTGCTGTTTTCAGCCTTTTGACTGCTAACAGACTGTTCTACCTTAGAGGAGTTGGTGATCACAGAAACACAGTGCCATGTTTCTATATCTGAGCAGGATTTTGAAAACAGAAGAAGTTGCTGGGGGAAAAAAGCATTTCCTGTTCTTTCTTCAAATGCTAAAATAAATGTTGAATTTTGTTCTTAAGTACTGAGACTGCAGATCTGGTGCTTGAATACTGCAATGATGATAGAAGAATCTTGTGCTATGTTATCAATCTTTTTTGTGTTACTCTAGGGGTGGGATGCTATTGAGTGGATAATTCAAAATTCTGAAAGCGCCCTAAGCTAGCAGGCTTTTCTACAACTGCAGCTTATACTAACTAGTGGTAACTCCAGCATTCTTTTTTTTTCGGTACAGCATTTCAGCTTTCTAGCAAATGTGTGCATGGACTGTTGTGATGTGATCTCTATCAGAATTAACTTGCATGCACATTGTGTATAAACACATTACGTACAGGAATGGCAAACATGTTTATTGGAATAGTCAGAGATGCTGGATGAGACCTGGAAGGATCAGTTATTCCATCCCCTGTATCACTGGAAAGACTGGATACAGAGACTGCTTACATGCACAAGATAGTAGCATGTTTATTGCGGGTACTCATGCATGTGAATTTGTTACTAAGGCTCCACCAGACCTAATTTAATTCCTTTGGTTTCACTGCAGTTAAGGCAGTTTCTATGGAGAATTAACAAACTGGCTAATGGAGTTGCCATTATGAAGAGGGACTAGAACTATACAGTTGAAAGGATTAGGATTGATATCTCATAATAGGGGTGGCCTGACCAGAGTAGGGATTTTTTATGGGTTTTTGTTATGGATTTTTTTTACTTATTTTTTGCTTTGTCAAAGTACTGCTGCTTGATTTATCCTCCCTGACTAGATTGTTTGCATTCTTGAGAGAGAGTTGCTAGAATTGACCTTTACATTTTAGGTGGGAGTTTGTTGCGGAAGTTTGCACATTACTGTAAGAGCAAGTAAAATATTTTAATAAATCTGTATATCTTGCATTGGTTTCTAGTTTATTGCTGTTTACAGATTAATTGCCACCCCTAAACGTGATGGTCATGAAACTTAACTTCAGGGCTGAGGGAAATGAGTGCAGCTTTCTTTGCTGTATATTTGTACTGAACGGTAAATGTCCCCTCCAGCTTTTAATTCTTTTAGGCAGTCTAACTTGTCTCCATTGTTCCTGTATTGAAAAACTTTAAAACTTCCACTGACAATCCCCAAACCATTTTCATTGCTCTTATTCTCTATCATTATGGTGGGCTGTGAGTATATAACTTAGCAAATGATGGCCGTGTGCTTTCAAGTTCCTGTCTCAGTAAATTATGACTTGGACAAATAGTTGAAGCTTTATATTCTCCAAAAACTTTAGCTGGAGCAGCCAGCCTTGACTTGTGGCCTAAAACTTATGAACAAATGTTCATACCCAGTTTCTGAAATACCACTGAATGCATATAATGCCAGAATATGTAGTACTGGGTTAATGCAATGTGCATGCTTGGTTATGAATGTGCTTGCTTTAATCAGCATCGTATATAGAAATTAAATAGCATTGTGTTGGTTATATAAATTGTGAAACTCTGTAAACTAGTCCTCTGTCAGATTATTTCTTCTTACTGAGCAAAATTGCCCAGATCTTTAATTATGAACGAAACAGTAATTGTGGAGATTTTAAACCACTTAAATTCCAGGGCAGAATTTTTTTTCTGAACCTTTCCATTCCACCATGGTGTGTTAATTTCTAGTTGCAAGGTAGCAGGGCTGGGTTGATTCACCAGGCTTACCTGGATGTAAATAGTTCTCTAGAGAAGAAAATACCTTTTCACTTAAGGAAGTTGCTTGAAAATTAACAAACTGAAAACTGGCTTTAGATCACGGCCTAGTCACTTATGGAAAGACTGGTGGTATTCTTCTATAACACAAGAGTTCTGCTCAAAGTGTTGTCTACTTTTTGACTAATTCAAGTGTAATCTTCCTGTGATTGGGCTTTAAGGTGATTAGCATTTAAATTGCCACTTTTTCAATACCTTATATTGCTGCCTCTAATTAAGGGGATGGACACCAACTTAAGAAATAAACCTTTCAATTGGATTCTTGTGACATCTGTATCATATTAAATGAATAATCAAGAGATTTTTCTGTCTCTGACAGTGCTCTGCTTAGTCAGGGGCACTAATATGTGAACATTCATTTGTATTTCTTATTGTATGCCATAGTCTGCAAAAGCCTGGCTCTAGTAAGCCAATTGAAAAAAATATGCTAGTGACAGCAGCAGCAAACTGAAACCAAAGAAACAGAGGCATGTACACAGAGGAAGTGGAGGGTGAATGGGAAGTGAAGGAAGAATGGGCTAACCCAAAACAATCTAAATAATAGGGAAGCAGAAGGGCACAGGGTGTGTTGGTAATCGGACTCAAAACTACCAAGTGTAAAATTACACAGATTGAGGATATTGCATCAGGCTGTAATCTATATCCTGGCTTCCAAACTGTGGATGGGCTACTCACGTGATCTTATGCAGTGAATGAATTTTCTCCTGCTTGGTCTTGGACTAAGAATGATGTTTTGATTAGATGGGTTTTCTGGTTTCAAAAAATACTTCAACAGCTCTTTGGGTTAGGGGCTATCTGCCAACATGGAGGCAGAGCCCAGCCTCCTGTGACTATTATCCTAACACAAAAACTTGAAAAGTCGGTAAAAGGGACTCTTCATTTTCTAAACTTGACATATTCTTTGCTCTGAAGAAGGATGGTATTTTTATATTTCAAAACTAAATTTATTCAGCCAGGCTAGTCCACAGTCTGAAAAAAGGGTCTTACAATTGTGTTGTGTATGTTACCAACATAAAAAAGACTGAGCTGAGTTGCATTTCTCAGTGGTTTGCAAAGTCATTATTTCAGTGTAGAATCATTCTAATATCCAGCAGCTGGGGAAGTGGAGATGGGAGAATAAGTATCCTTCAGCTAGTGAGGGCATTATTTAACATCCTCTTTGCCTCAATATCCTTGCCTAACCTTTCAGGTTTTTGCATGCATTGCAGTTAGTAATGCTAATGACACGTGAATTCAGTAGAGAGCATTTGTGTAAATACATCTTGAATTGTCCATTTCACACAAATGATAGTAAATGGTAACTGGATTTTGGACAAAGGTATCAGTGATAATGCTACTACAAGAGAACACATTTTCCTTGTAGGTCAAAGATGTGGTTGCTGCTGTCAGGTGTTACTGGTCTGTTTCAGGGTCTTGAATGACAGTATTTCTATGGGTTTTGAGCACTTGAGGGTCCCCTTCTATTTTTGTGGATAGGTGGTTCTTAGTGTGAAGAAGCTAGTTATCTAATTTCTACTCATTTGGGTACCATCCTGTGTTCTGCTGTTGTCAGTTCATCCCCTTATCAGAAGGCATTTGTGCATTTGCTCTTTATCTAGCTTAAAGAACCTGTATATAGGTGGGAAGGCAGAGTTATATGGCAAGAATGGGAAATGACAGCATAAGTAAAGGTCACGGTTCTGTAGAGGATTCCTTTGTGATGGCAACAGTTTTATTTCAGAAATTAGCTTGGTCTTGCCCCTGTCTTCAAGAGCACGTGAAATCTTCTGGTATTTAACTTGACAGAAGATTAGGTTCATTAGACTAGGTTGAAAAAAATCTGCCCACCAAAGCCATGCCTATTAAACTTCCCTCCATGGATCTTTTAATTCTTTCTTCGCTGGAGAAGAATCACTGGAAAAATCACTTCTGTCCTCCAATTTAATTGTGTCAGTTAATTCTGCCCTCAAAATTGGCTCACCCACCTCCTTGCAGGGTGGTGCTGTTGCCTCCAGGGCTCTTCTGGTCATAGTTTAGGCCCTGAGTTTCCTCACTACTGCTCTCTTATTTGATTCCTACCTTTGCTGTTCATGAGGCAGTGGTCCTTGGGATATTCTATGGCTTTTCCTTCTCCTTCCCTCTAAAGAAGCAGCCAGCACTTCCCCAGGCGAGCCTGCTTGTCTGTGAACAACTTCTCATCCTGAGTGAGCGTGTTGTTTAATTCTCCCATCTCTGTTGGGAACAACTTTAGTTCCTTAATTTTTGTGCATTTTCTCATTTCTAAAGTTCAGGCTACAGTAAGAGCAAGAGAATCATTCACATCCTACATAAGTGCTTCACAGAAGATCTGTAGTTGCATGAATTTGTAAACTTGGGTAGAGCTGCATTCTGGTGACTTCATAGAAGTGATAGACTCTTGTTAATTATACTTATTCATAGCCCTTTATTTTCTTGATGACCTAAGTAGACCATTCCTATACAATCCAGGAGTGGGAGGAAGCCAGGGCAGTGCCTTGGCAGAAAACTGAGTCATGTGATCAAAGTCTTTCATTTAGTCTGATTTTTGTGCTGAAGAGATACTCTGAAGGAGGAAAACATAACTTGATAGTTAACCCTTCCTCTCCTAATCACCATAGGTCAGATTTATGCAGCTGACAAGTAGAATGTGTGTTGGGATGCAGAGACATGGAGGTATTCCCCTTAACTGCTACCAATGAGTCAACCTGTAAGAGCAGCATTGTTCTTTCTAGCTCTGGCTTTTAATGAAGTCTCCAATTCTCACTTAGTTAATCACTCTATAATCTAGAATAATCCTAGCTCCATCCATACACATGCTGTCCTTCCTGCATTAATAAGAATAGTGAAAACCGAGGGGGAGAGCATCTTAAATTTAAATGTGCTTTTAAGTGTTTGCATTTCAGCACTGCCTTGACTTCTTGCACCTGAGTGTTATGGAAACACTTTTTTGCAACAAAGATTCAGGATGAGGCTATTATAAAACCTCAATGTATAATGCCAAACTGGTTCCCTGTAGCACAATTCTGGCGTCTGACAGAGGAAAGATATGGAAGTTTTCTCTTGAATAGTGTTGCTGCAGCCATTTTGATGCTAAACTCTTATGTTCTCTTCTGACAGGGCCGAGATGCTCTGGAATGGGTGATCAACAGACTAAACACTGAGTTTGAGGAACTGAAGCTCTCAACACGAGAGAGCATGAAAGCCGCAATGGCAGCAGCATCAACAGAGAATTGAGGCCACGGCACTGAAGAGCTGTGGTAAACGGCTCCATTTAATGAACTCTTCCTTAGGCCTCCTCCAAGACGGAGCCACCATCACTTTTTATATATGAACATTAGATACACAAGAACTTGAAAAATGAATGTTGGGTATCTCCAGCCTCCACGTAGCTGCTTTAGAATCCATTGAAGATTAACTTGAACTTCTCTACTTATGTCTCTTTATTTTGTGTCCTCCAGACAACTGAAACAATCTATGGCGGTTTTTTAAATTAAAAAAAATGGTAAGGTGCGCCTTTTACAGAGGAGGCTTTTTCCATTTGATACCCTCAGTTTTGGTGTATTTGAGCCTCCCCCCTTTTTTTTTTTTTTTTAAAGGGAGCAACTAGTGCTATGTGGAGGATAGATGGGTACAAAAAGCACTGACTGTTGTTCACATTGTCACTGTTTGATAGTCTCTTATGGCTAAGTGGAAATGTAAGGGGGACAGCGTGACACTAGAATAACAGAGGTGTTTACGTGGAACACCTAAGCTGCATCTTGCGTGGTGGCACTAACTTGCATTGTTAAATGCAGTGTCTGAACAAAAAACATACTTACCTCTTGGATATTTTGTATCCAAATGCAGATTTTTATAGTCATGAATAATCTTAACTATAATAACTATCTTTGTAGCTTTACTGGGGGATTGAGGACTTAATTTATTTTCATATTTATTATTCACTGACTCTAGGGTTTTCTGTGTTTAAAAAAGAGTAGCTGATGTCTCACGGAAAGCACTGGATAAAAGTTCACTCCATTGTTTTAACACGGAGGCTTTGAAGAATATCTTTTGCTGCTTTGTGGGTCCCCATTCTGCACTTCAGACCATACTATAGATGTAAATCTGATGCCACAAATAAAAGCAATCATCTGAAGAATAAGCAGGAAACTGAGACCAACTCTAAGAGTAACGTGTTATTTTTCTTGTAATTCTTTAGTTCTAATAAAAGACTACTGAAAATTAGAGGCCAAATTGGCTTCTTTTTTTTCCAGAGCTTTCCATAAGCCATCACTGGTTCTCTAGTTTTTTTAAGTAACATTTTTAACATCATTTGGCCATGTTGGCACAAATCTTTTTTTTTAGGCTCATTTAAATGTTTTAAGTTTTTCACTGTCAGGGAAAACAAGGAATTAATACATTTCACAGAGTAAAATAATGGAAAAAACAAGTTAAATAGCCTTGCACAAAGTACGAAATCCAGAATTGTTACACACTATCAGCTTGTTTTTAAACAGACACAAGAAGATGAATGTGTTGTGAAAGCACTGGAAGTTTTGGATGCAACCTTTCAGTGAAAATAGATGCGTTTGTGGGTTTTCGGGGGGAGGTGTGCACAGACCAAAGGGACAGTGTTCTGAAGAGCTGTTTCCTTGTGCAAGCAGAAAATAAATGGTTTTGGAAGTCCATTTTGAGTTGGATTTGCACATTTTTTTAAAATAGTGGACAAGAGAGGGAATTATTGTTCGATTTGCTTTGATTTGGGTACCTGAAAATGTTGGAGGAAGCTAACCAATAAATATAGGTAACTGTACCAATGCCTAAATTGCTGGCTTTTAAAATACAAATATAAATTAGAACTGTATCAAAATGTATCAACGAGCCAGTTTATTTCTGTGGTATGGTTGGGGGATGGTTTGTTTTTTAAATTAATAAAACATGTCTTTATGTGGATGGGAAGGGTTTCCTGTGTGGTGTAGATGCTTGGAACTAAGGCTTGACAGTGTATCCTCCCAATAACAGCTTGCAGAATTAAATGTCTTAATTTGCATAGTGCTATTATAAGTCAATTGTCTCTGGCTTTCAGAGATGCATGATGTCATTTTCTGGGGAAGAGCACAGAGAAATGTTACAAATTCCAGTCTGTCATGGCAGCCTGGTACAAATGATTGAGACATTAAACAGGTGACTGCTGGGAAAGCTGTGGTACAGCATTCCAATACATACCTCTTGCTGGTGGTAAACAACCTGATCTTAGGGAGTTTACAGTCCCTTGCAATTAGCTGAGCATCCATGTATCAAATAGGTGCATTGCAAGGATTCTCTAGACAGATGCTATGTTAAACATTAATTATTATTGCTTAAGGAGTCCTACAATTAGGGTGCAGCTAGCAACATGGCTAGCTACCACTTACTACTTTTCCAGGGCTCTGTGATGTCTCAATCTGCCTCCTGCCAGCACTCTTAGTCTCCTAGTCCTGGTTCAGGGCAGGCTGTAGGCTGGTTCAGAGCTTTACTTTATCCAGACCAGTTATAGCGGGTTTTTCTGAATTTTTTCCCCTTATTATTACAGGTCCCATTCCCAAAAATTGGCCTATAGTTCTACAGCACTGTCTATTGTAGTTCCCAGCAGTTTTCTCCTAGCTCCTGCGTAGCTGAGCCACTCTAGCTGAGCCACTCTAGAGCTTCCTCGCAGCTGCCTGCATCATCTGCTGGGTTGTTCTTCTGGTTCAGGTAGTTCCATGCTGTAGCTCTTTCCTGGTTGCTGCAACTTTAGACTTCTGTTGATATTCCTTCCTTTGGACCTGCAGGCCCTGCCTGTGGACCTAGCTACACTGGGGGAAGGAGAATGGACCCTACTTGCTTCTGGTCTCTACTGCCATGGAGGGCTGTTCCTTAAGCTGTTCAAGGTTTTTCAGTGTCTCCCAACCACCCTCCCCCCTCCATTGTGGCCACCAGTCACTGCTTCTTTTTCTCTCTTCAATTTAACCTGTGAAACTTTCTCAGGTACAGAATTGCCTCCAAAGATGACATACCTGTATCTGCTTTTCTGCTAGGCATAAGCTTCTGCTTCCCTTTCTGTGCTCTGGAATTGCTCTCCATACAGCTGTGTATGTATTTGGGATACGAGCAACAGATCGCCCTTCAGCCTTAGCTGTTTTAGTCTGTGCCAGGTGCCAAGCTGGGCAGACTGATTGGATGGTCCTTGGCATACCCTACCTTTTCAGTCTGTTCCTTCTCTTGTCATCAGCAGCAGTTGTACAAGCCCAAGGTGCAGAAGGGCCATATGGTGAGCACTGCAGTTGTTGTTGGTTGTATATCACTTCCCTTGGATAGGTGTCCACTGGTCACTGTGCCACTCCCCAGTAATATCCTTCCCTTCTCCAGCTAGACTAGGCTTCTCACTAGAGCTGTAACTATTGTCTCCTGTACTGCTCTTCCTTTGTCAGTCTGGGATACAATTTAATTCAGAGATGCACTTGTATCCTAACTGTCCTGAAACTAGGTCCTTCAGTAATGCGACTCTCCAAGGAGGTGCACTTAGTAACTTTGAGATGTCATATTTCAGGGGCAAGCACTAGTATGTTGATTTGGGCCCAGGCACTGCAGAAACAACCTGTTACAGGAAGAAACTTGCTTTTAAAATAAGGCAGAGTAAAAGCAAATATGACTTGGAAGGATATAGTTCTGAGAGAGAGACTGAAAGCTTTTGCTTAGCCTAGACTACTGGCTGTTTCAAAAGTGATTAGATTTAGTTTTAAATGGAAATGCTGTGATCTTGCATCATGAGGGTTTTTTTTAAATGGGTCTTATTCTAAAATAGTCTACAGTACAATAATTCTGTAGTTAATGCAGCTTTAACACCTTATATCCTTAAACACTATGGGATTTTTAATGCCTTAAAAGTGAGCTTGGCAATGACACTTAAGACAAAGTCCAAGTCTTAAGAATTTGTCACTGAAGCAGTACTGGTGTTAGCTGCAAATTCTGTAATTTAATACATTTCTGTCAGTTGGATGTTTGTGTGTAGTCACTGACAGGTCAGAACATACATTTTTCTGAAGGTTATTCACAATGGATACAACAGCTGCTCTAACCTGCACCAGGCTTTCAAGGTCAGCCACTGTGCGTGCGTGCGTGCGTGCGTGCGTGCGTGCGTGCGTGAGAGAGAGAGAAAACTCCCACTGATGGGGAGCTGTACAGACAGACAGAACCTAAGCCAAATTGGAAGGAGTGGTCAACAAGCTAGCTAAAGGAACCAGCTATAGGACTCCTGTCTCCTGCATGAGTTAGTTATTGGTAAGAACCATTTTAACTATGCTACAAAACAGAACACATGAACATTATTTAGTTGATGCTAATATATTACTGGCAGGAGTCAGGCTAGCTTATCTTGCAGTTATTTTTGTTTTAAAAAATGTTGAAAGTCTTGTTACCAAGAAGAGAGCATTGTGTAGAGTCTCACCTTTGCAAACTTAACAGACTGCCATCTGTAAGGCACAGGGCACATCTGTGGTGCTAACTCAATAACAGACTATGAAAAAGCCAAACCATTGTGTGTTGTCTTTGTGTTGTTGTTTCATAGTGGTTACAACCCCCGCCCCTGGTGACAAGTCCAGTGATATCAGCTCATTTTTGCTACAAAGTGGGCAACCCCTTTCACAGACCTAGTTGAAAACCAGTTTCAACTTCTCTAAAAACAAATACATGTGCAGACAGCTGGGTTTGGTCAAACAGTTTGTACACTGCAGCTGTTCTTTACTAGTGGAGTTTGTAGCAACAGGTAGTAAGATCAGCTTTTTAGAATAAGTAGGAGGAATGATTTGTGTGGATGAGAGAAGGACAACTGTGTAGGGCTGGAGTGGGGGAAAAGGATATTTTTTTTTATTTAGCAATACTCCAAAATTATGTTTTAATTTTTAACCATGTAGCCTATCTGTCACTTCTTACAGTGCTGTGAATCCTTTAGAGTGGACTTCCACATAGTAGGGTGCCTATATTGATTTTCAGCAGTGGGGGATAAATGGGTACAAAGATCAAATGGGGCATGAGCTGCAATCCACTGCACTTTTAAAGTGGCTGGACAGTCTCTTGGTTGCTCCAGAGATCTGAAGTCTATTTGGGGCCAAGGGTTTAAGCACTTTGCCTCTCTAACACAGACCTAATGGCAATTATAAACAGTTGCATACTCAGTGAAGAGCAAATGGAAGGAGTGGTTATTTTTAATGATATCGATAACCTCAGTTGTCACCTCATTTGGTAATGAGGAAGTGCTTACCATGCACAGGAGGGAGGTTTTTTTTTTATCACGTATCGCTTAAACGTCCCCTTCTGAAAAGGAACTGTTATATGACCTGAAAAGCTGGACTCTACAAATCCATGCTGGGCTACAATTCCTGCCCCTTGCTCACGCATCACTGCGTTTCTTAAGATTACTGGTTGAGAATCGGGCAATAGCTTCTTTCCAAACAATACAGGTGTGTGCTGCCTTTCTTTTTTGCCCATCCTTCTTCACTACTCTTTTTTTCTAGGTAGTTTTCAAGAAGTTAAGGCATTTATCCTTATCACTGGCCAACATTTAAGAATCTCATTTTTAAAGTTCATAAATAAACACAAGCTGTTGAAGAAACTACTAAGGAGAAAAACAGGTATAGGCTCTTCTTTCTCGCCTTTCTGCACAGGAGCGGCTTAAAGTCTACAACAGGGACCTCTACAGCTAAGAACAGAAGTTAAGCATTTTATCCCAGGAGTCAGAAAGCCTCCATTATTAAACAGTTGAGCAGAATGCAATGATCTGGGAATACTACATCAGAAAAGCTGGGACAATACAATACACATTTTTAAAGAGATTTATTAGTAATGCATAAACAAGAAACTGCATTTCTCAATCACATAACAGGAAAACAAGCAGAAAAAATGCTATTGCCTTTCTTGTTTTTATGTCGAGTGCTCTGGTGTATCAGAAGCCATACAGAAGTACATGCACAGTGACATCACATAGGAAGATAAAGGAAGTGGAGAAATTAATGCTTTGGGGGGCAGATTTGTGCTTTATTACACTATGAAATTAAATCTGAGGGATAGTCTCCATACTTTATTCTGCTCTTCCGTGGAAAGTCAAGTTCCAACCTCCTTCCACTAGCATCAGATGCCCATTGCACACTCCAAGGTGGAACTCACCCAGTGCATGCAGTGTGGGCTGCCTGCCATCAAGCTGTGTGCTTGGCCCAGGAGACACAACATCAAGTGCAATTCTGAAATTAGTAAGCACAGTAGTAAATTAAATACAAACATCCATTGGCCTGAATTGAATGTGAAATGACAACTAGTCTCACAGGTATTAGACCCAATACTGAGCAGATACTGACAAATAAGACCAAAGGCTCACAAACATACTTGCAGAAGTTACGTTTGAGGGTGCTTCAGTCTTTGTTCTGAGTGTCTGTTTGCTTCTAGCTTTCAAGTAAATCCCTTGCTTGGAACAAAGCAAACTACAAGTAGTGGGTGTGAACGTGAAAGAAAACTGAAACAGTTTATCCAGTAATGAAATACAGCCCTTTACCTGATCTGGAGGGCTGGAATGAAGATTGGTTACTTGTCAAGCATGGGACTGTGCCTTAAGAAACCTGCACTCAATTCCCAGCTCTGCCACAAACTTCCCGTTTGACTTTAGGTCAATCATCTTTTTTTTCTTCACTGAGCACAATACCTCCCTCACAGCAAGTTGAGAGGCAGGCCATGAAGCAAACTGACACTTGCCTATGCCACATCTTTTGTAGCACTGTAGGAAATTCCAAAGGATGGGCCAGAGGATGTATTTGCTACAGGGGCCTCCCCTTGATGGAGATCACTCCCAACTACTGAGTGGGAATAAGGCCTATAATGAGCTCTACATCAATTCTTCCTTTTTGCTCAGCTGCTTGGGTCTGGTCCTAGCTTCAAGATCTGGACCTTGGGAATTTGTTGAGCACTTGAGGTTTCCCAATGGAAGAGCAGTATCAAGTATTACTCCTCAGGCACAAGCACCCAGTGCTGTCAAGGCCCTTTGGATATAGTTCAAAAGTTTTTGTATTAATAGAGGTATCCAATTCAGAACTGCTCCACCCTCCCCCTTAAAATTTATTTATCAAATGCTTTCAATGGAAACAAATGTTTGAAAGAAAACAATACAGGAAGAGGGACACTGCCCATTCTACACTAGGCCCAGCAAATTCCTACAGTGGCCAGACCAATAATGCCTTTACTGCCATGCCTCTTCTGCTCCTGCTGTACTAATGTTAACTTTTAGCATGCCACTGTGATGAGGAAGTTGGTGGTAACTGGATTCTTAAGCACCATAGCACAACATGTGCTCCATTAATTCAGCATCTGCCAAATTGTTAGAAGGGCTTAACAGGCGTGTAAAATGTAAGATAATGTGTTTCTATTATATACCAAAGAAATAAAAATGCAAGCAGCAGCTTCATGCTGGATGTGTCCCTGTGGTTTTAATGACCTAAGCAGGTCTTTCCCTGCTTTGCTTTACTCCTATTATTGTACTTTTACCGCCTCTGTGCAGCTTTTATCCATTTCTGATTTAGGGACATCTAAAATTGGGGATGGCTTCCAAAAGCTATACTAAATCCCTTTATTTACTTTAGGACTATTCTTCAGAAACCCATCTCTTATGCAAGACGGGGGAAGTTCTTTCATTAATAAGACTCAGCTCATTGTTCCTGGAACACTCGAAGATCAGTTCTGCTGAGCAAATGACATCTTGAAAAACCTGGCTTTGCTTGCTCTCATGACTACAGCAGGAACTGCAAGTTAAACATTCTGCGAATTAGCGTTAAGTGCAAAACCATAGAAGCAAAATGTTCTTGTTCATTGTTTGGTTGTTGCTTAGCTTTAACTGATTAGTATACTTTGTTGTATCCTTTTAAATTCAAAACTAATTCACAAATCTTTGTGATCAGGAAACTTGTTACGTTTCTTTAATGAACAAATTTGCTCTATCACACCACATGTAACCCACATTCACTTGCAGCCCGATTTTCTTCTCAGAATATTTTTGCATGCACAACTCTACTTAGTTCAGTGGAGTAACTTCTGCTTGGCGTCAGTCTGAGAACAGATTTGGTCTTCTCTATAGGATCAAGTACTTATTCCTTTTCTGATCTAGGTGGCACACTGTTGAAAAGCCATTGACTGCTTTATGAAGGTGTTTCCACTGATGGAGACATCTTGGTGCTAGCCCAATAGCGAGAGAACGTGGGACAACTCTTAGGTATACAGAAGGCCTCTGTGGCACTCGTTTTGCCTGTTGTGCAATGAAAAATTTGAGGACAACTTGGAAGCCTCCATAAGAGAAACTACTTTGAAACAAAAAACTCTTGCTAAACAGTAAAGGTGCAGTATGGGGAGAATCTTACTGTAAATCTAAAAAGTTTTATGAACTAAAATATATTTTAGAACTCTGTTCAGAATCTCTGGTCTGTTAAGGTGATTTTGTGCTCTCAGAAATTCTCCAATGGCATAAGATTGGCCACTAGCCAAGGTCTATCCACCTTTGTTATCTCCAGCTGCTGCAGAGACCCCTGCAGCAGAGCAATAAGGCCTAACAATGCTCTACTTTCCATTGGTGGCTGGCCTAGCACAGAGGGCTGGAAAGGTGGTTAAAACAGACCAGATCATGCCATGTGGCCTGTTTATTACCAAAGCTGCTGCAAATTCCCAGGACTGTATTATCAATATCAGCCAATCAAAAATAAAAACACTGAGGGAGAACTTTACTTATCTCAATTCCAGCATTTAAAAGCAACTGAAAATAGTTCCAAGCCACAGCTAATGGGGTTCAACTATGGCTGTAGCACAGGAAAAATAAGTAATTGGGCTTTGCTGTTAAAATTCGCAAGTGTGGGTCTTAAGTTTTCATTAAATGGAGCTCCATTCATTTGTTAGTCTTTTTGGATATAGGGTATCATGCAGAAAACTAGACAGTTTGCAATAAAGGGTAATGCTACAGTAACACTGCCGCTTTTCATTCATAGATCTCCAAGTGCTTTACTAAGTGTGGTTCACATTGTTATCTCCATTTGACAGACTGGGAAATAGAAGCACAGACTTCCTGCAACTCACCCAAGGCATTTTGATAGCAGAACCTAGGGGTTCCATAAATGGACAATGCTGAAGCCCTAGGGAATAGCCTCCATGCAGGGAATACAAGCAGACTTTGTATTCTCCACCCCCATCCTTTGCAGTTCCTGAGGAACCTACATAGCTCAAGTCTTTCACCCCATTTCAGATTACATCTCCTATGAGAGACAGCCAAAAATCTAGCTCCAGAGTCTCCCAACCTTAGGGTGGGCTTGATAAAACTGTAATGAGACCAATGCTAATTGTCTTTTATTTACAAGCTACACTCTAAAGGAGGATCAAGGTCTATGTCTATAGTTTATAGGACTGGTCCAGTGCCACCATCCAGCTGTTTTCTTATTAGGATATGTTTGTAGTCATGTGTAACAGGTTGAAAGCATATTCACCAAATCATAACAGACTACACAGAATCAAGTCACCAGCCCCTCATTAACAGATCAGTATGATGTTTTCAATATGCATATGACAGGAAATTTTCTGGTAGTATGCTGCAGTACTAGAATACATAGGTACAGCTCCCTACCCCCTATGTGGTGTCACTGTTTAACAAATGAGATTGAGATCATAAGGAAGACATTCCGAAAAAGTACACAGAACTGCTAGATGTGCTTAGGCATGAAGGCATCAACCATGGCAGTTTAAAATCGGAGTTGGTTTTTTTTTTAAACTAGGAGGAAAAGTTAGAGCTGAAGAGGGAAGAAAACAGTTGGTTGCTTGGTCATCTCTGAATGCATCCTAGTGCCTCTCACACAATGCACATCGAAGATAAACACAAAAAAGGCCAGTGGGTTGTGAAAAGTTCAGAAATGATGCATATAGGAATAGTCAAAATTATGTACAGATCTTTAGCTTTTGATATGGAAACATTTTGATTAAAGAAGGGATTTGGTTGGAAATGGTTATCCTTTTCTGCATGCTAATCATGATTTGGATGACACACACAGTTTTATTGCTATTCTAAGAATACTTTGTCATGTTTCTTTCCTTTCATGCAGCCCAGCAAGTGCTCTGATGTTACTCATCTCATTCACATTTCTTTGCCAAAAGAAAAAGCCATGTGACCTTTGCAAAACTATACAAGCACTTATAGAAAGACTTTTACCATTGCTTACATATGAATAATTAACACAGACAAAGACTATGATGGAAACGCATTTTATTTTCCCCATTTAATGTGTTTTTTTTAATAAAGGACTTAATGAAAAACCCATAAGCAATATTGTCACTATGAATGTTTAGAAAGTTTAGATTTTATACACAAAGGGGCTGCAAAAAAGACCTGCTTGCTATTTTCATCACATCTATTTGCAAGGCTGAGCTGGCTTTGAATTCTTAACAACTGTGTTCATATACAAAATACAAGACCATTGCACTGTCAACAGCTTTTCTGTTTGTTTGTTTAACCCTTTGGGTCTCCTATGATACACTTAAAACAATCCTAGGCTTATTAACACTGTTAGAAAAATAAAAGATTTAAAACCCGGAAATGAGCTCCCTGTGCTAATCTCACATTCTTTTAAACAGAAATTCATTTAAAAATGTCTACAGAGTGCAGGCCTCCAAGTTTCACCTTGAGGGGCACAAAACTTTAAGTCTAATAAAATAATAGTCAATATACATATAAATAAGACTAATTTTCTTTTTAAATCTTCATGGGAAAGTCAATTCCCATTGCTCAAGGGATGGCAGCTTTCTAAATATTAATAAATATAGTATTTACAGGCTTTTGTTTTTATATTCTGATACTGATATGAAATTCAAACCATAAACAGGGCACTATGGGCAGTTTCAAGAGGTATGGAGGCAAAGTGGACTGATCCTTGCCACTTGGATGGGGGTTTGGGACACTGGTGTGAGAGGCAACTTACTCACTGCACACAGTTCCAGGTCCTTCAGTCTTCACATGACCAAGAGAATCCCATTCCTTACTCATCCCTTGCCATGTTAACAGCTGGCACATTGTACAGGGCCTATTTCTCTACAGTACAGATGGGAATAATGATGGTGGGGGAAGAAAAAAGAGGGGAGTGGCAGTTGTCTGTCAGGGTTCCCCTTTCTAGGTGCTTTTGAAAGGTTGCATATTGTGCATTATACAGCCCTAAAGGAACTTAGGTAGGCAGGCCAGCCAAGGCAGGGCTGGGAGCTGCCACCTGCTGCATTGTAGTGCCCTCCTGTAACAGCAGATTGCTATGCAAAAAGCCAGCAGTCGGTCAGTCTGTTCTGTGCTTATCTGGTGCCTAACACAAAGAGGTCCTGATCCATCCTGTGGGCTCCTACATTCGACAGTAACACACACAGTAAATAATAAATTACAGTGCTAGCAGCAGCATTAACTCTCCTCTATGGCATCAATCCCCTGGGAAGCAGCACTAATAGGGGAGAGAATGGGGAGACTCACTGGCAGAAGGGACACAGCAGGGGAGGCACTTCTCCTGGATGATCAAGGGCCTTCAGAACTGGAATCTGGTTCTATCACATGCACACTGGCTCCAGGGCATTACAGGGCCACTGTCTCTGCCACCCCTGCAATGCTCTCAACAGAAAGAAAAGTAATGCTGGATACTCAGAAGGCCAGAGACCTGAGAGATGCCAAGGAACATACATCTTGTTCCTGCAACTTTTGTCATGGGACTATGAGAAGGGCTCTATTAGATTTGTGCTGTGTATATGGGACCATTTCTGGAGGAAAATGTAAACAGAACAGCAGTGTTTAAAGCAAAATGGCATACACTTCCTTGAAAAGTGCTCATCAGCTGGGCATATTATGGAAGGGATGCAGGGATTTGTTTTGGCACAGAAACAGGAGGGAAAAAGATCTCACCTGATTTGAAGACAGTGACTTCTAAGAGTGAGCACCTGACTTGAGGAGAATTTTACTTCCCCATTATAGGTGAACTGCTCTGTGCTACCCACCTCCTGCAAGCCTACATACTTATCTTGCCCAAACCCTGCAGTTCAAGGTGCACTGTCTGAGTTCCCAAAATAGAGATCTAGTCCAGCTGCACTATTCTATACCTTAAAGGAAGAGTTCAAGATGGAGACTCAGCTGCAATGCCTACTACCTGCTTCAGTCAAATCCCTAGCAGTAGTACAGCATGCTGTGTGGTTGGGCAAACAGCTCTTGTATATAAACATGATCAAAAGGAAATAAAGATGGGCTTGAGCGTCTTTGGGCCATGCATCTCAGGAATAACTTAAATGTATGACAGAGAACTCCTAAACTGTTTGGGGATTTACAATTTCACATGACAACATGCCTCAAAGGGGAAATTTTGTACATATGGGGTAGCAGAGAAACCAGGCTGACAGTGGAATTGGAATAGTTCTGCTGCATGCAAGGTGAGGGCAGAATCTGATACAACTCCAGAAGAGATGAGCAAGTGACTGCTGCCCTTCCACACTGCAAGGACAGTGCACCAGTAGTTACACAGTGGCTCTAACATTGTTTTGTGGATGGTAGAAGCCAGGCTCTAGCCATTAAGCCAGAACCCTTCCTTAAAAGATTGTTATAAGTCTGGGGAGAAGATTTGGCCCCTAATGATTTTTTTAAAATGCATAATATTTAGCCAAGAGATTCTATTTGCTTAAAAATATGTATTTAGATTTTGAAGAAAAATGGACCTTGGTTACATTACATAAGCTACTTTGGAGCAGTTCTGAGGTATCTCTCATCAATCTGTAGTATAGAAATGTTAATAAATAGATCAAACTTTTATGTTATCACTCTATAATACAGTGCTGTATAGATATTAAATATGGTTCTGGGTATTAAAATGTATGAAAAAGTTACTGTATATACAGTAGCTGATTTTCAAGTATTAGTAACTTGGCTATGTTAATTTTGTTTTCTAAATACCAAAATGACCCAGCTCCAGATGATGGCCTAAGCTCTGCTTTTGTTTTAATTTAAAAAAAGCAAAACAAAACAAAACAACGTTCCAAACATATAAAAAGTGCAAAAAAGCATGTGATGTTAACTAACATTGTAACATTAATGGAATTTTTTTAAACAGCCAGGATGGCTTTTTTGTAAGTGTGTTAAAAAGTAAAAGAAAAAATGAAGCACTTCCCAATCTGAGACCCAGTTGTCCCAAATTTCAGCAGGATACCAATTTTTACAGCCAAGTTATAAACCCCAGAAAAAATGGGGTTTATAATGGATACGATCTCAGGTGCATAATTATAGTAGTACTTGTATTCCACTATAATACAAATATACACATTACCCACACTTCTTGCTGGGTAACCATGTTACATACTTACAGGAACTCAGTTAAAATTAGAAGCCCCACTTATTCCCCACCCTTCCCATAAAGTCTACAGCTCTATCTACTACTAAAAGTATTACTATTACTACTGCTACCATCAATAATCATAATACATTCAAGATAAGAAGTAAACTACTAAGACCTGCACAGGAGATGCTTACAAGTATGCCAGGGCTTAGAAGTACAGCAGCTCAGGGAAAATGACCACCCCTTTGGGCATAAACCAATTTTGCACTGGAACACAGATAAAGTCCCATGCTGAACCATGATCTCAGAGCTGAAAGAAAGATCACTTTAAACCCTTCATGAATTGTTCTTGGTTTTGTGCTAAGAGACCATATGAGCTACACAGCCCATGCTAGGCATTTGGTGTAGTGTACATGGCTGTGTGTGCCATATAAACTAGAACATGAACACTATTCGGTTGATAATGCCAATATGACTTACTGCTTAAACTGTGCTAACATTGACACCTTGGCTAGATTTGGCTCTCCAGTAGGCATACATTTCAGCGCCTCTCCTAAAAATGATTCAAACATTGGTTAAAAAAAACCTGAAGGCAACTAAAGACTTTCTAGCTTCCAAGCACATAGAGGCAACAATTTCAAACTATTATTTTCCTCCAGTGCATATGAATTATTGGCTGACCTGTTGCCATCTTGCAGAAACACGAATGTATTATTCAGCATCTCTGGAAACCGTGAACTAACAAACTCTGCCACCTAATGCAAATTTAAGCCCAGTAAGTAAAACAAAGAGAAAGAAAATCAGTTGATCTCTCACAGATGTGGACCTCAAGAAGACAAAAAGAAAAAGGCACAGGGTTCAGATCTCATTGATAGTTCTCTCAGAAGGGCAGTATTCAGAGGTTCCTGGGGATGACATGTAGAATGACTGTGTTTTCCTTTTTAACCTGGCTCGCTTGTTGGCCAGAGAGAGGCTGCGTCGACTTGAATTGATGATTTCTGAAATAAACTTTTTGCAGTCCACACACACCTCCATGGTGCTCCAGTCCTCCATTAACTCCTTGGGAAACTGTAGCTCTTCGTTTGACTTATCCACAGACTTGGACCTTGAGGGCAACCTGAGACACACAGAAGCAGTCCCTTACTTATTACCATTATTTATAGTTAATTACCATTATTTAGAGTTTAGCCCATCTTTGGGTCATAATGGAGACACTTCCAAAAACAAGAGACTACACAAACATTGCTGCCATTCTTCCATAACCAGGGGAGCTGAAAGATAGCAGAAAGAGGATGGAGATGGGAAGATATCAGTACGATTATACAGCTATTCACTGAAGGCTAGTGAAAAGTTTGATTTGGCAAAAAGGATTTTCTGACTCTCTAAATGGATGTCTTACTTGGCTATATCATCTGCAAACACCATGGCAGAAGTGATTAACACAGAGAGGCTTGAACAGATTTTACAGGAGTGTAGTTGATCATCTCAGAAAAGACTCTTTTTCCATATTATTTCTGTGGCTGGTTTCAACAACAGCCTGTGTTCAAAATGTTATTCTGTAATCTTGTCAAGGCCAAATTGAAGAAAATTCATGGCTGGAAGCAGAATGAGTTTGATATGTGCAAGCGATCACTCAGTATAGGAAATTTTTTAATTTAGTTACTAATCCCAGGCTGTATGTTTTTCTTTCTAAGAATCCATCTGTACTAGAAAAAAATTAGAGTATTTTGTAGGTGTCTTGCATGGATGCAGTTGCTCTGGTCTTAGTATAGATTTCAACCACAATATAGACTGATATTGTTAATACCATGTCAGCTACTTCTATATAGATATATAAAGCTTATATTTCTTGACTGGCAAATGAAAAGGATCAAGATGAGTGTCTGCCTTCTCTTAAAATGAAAAGAAAAGCTTCAATTTTTAACAGATGGGAAAGCAAATTTGATAAGGAAAACAATTTATTTTCAGACTTCCGCCTTCTTCTACAAGGATACCACTAAAACTGAATAATTAAAACCAACTATAAAAGCGGACCCAAGTAATTGCATCTCTTTTATTATTAACCTTGGAAGATGATATTATGAAGAGCCAAAGTACATGCATCTAAACTTAGGAGGTCTCTCACCTGGGCATACTCCTCAGTGACCGGTGATGGCTGGTAGATGGTTTTTCAGGTCTCATAAAACTTTCTCCTTTCTGCAAGGCAGAAGGTCCAAGAGAAAAGATAGGAAGGGTGGAATATGGCTTTGATGGCAATCGCATCTATTACAGGAACAGGAAAATGAGAATATGACATATCCTTACCAAAGAGAACTTTTCAGAAAGGGACAAATTGTACATTTCTTAACTTACTTTTTTGCAACATTGGGAACATACAGGCCTGTGTAGAAAAGTAAAAGTATAAATCATTCAACTTGAAAAAATAATACTGAAATAAAATATTGTGGAATGTAAACTTTCAGGATTTACACTGTTTTCTACGAACTGTTCTAAAATCTATATATTTTATTTCTGAAGCTGATTTATTATTCTGTCTCCAATCTGAAGCTGAAGCTTACACCCAGGAAAAGGCCTGGCCAAGAAATACTGATTACAAACAAAATAGTGAAGAGAAATATAAATTATACCCCGTCCCTCCATTAAAAATTATAATGAAAATCAATGACAACCTGGAGCTCTTGATATACTCTCTCTTGCATTATCATTATAAAACTTGCTTATTTTAGAAGTAAACATTCCCCCGACCTGCAGCTGTCAATGCTGCAAACTGAAATGGAAATGGAGTTCCTTAGGATTTTAACATGTTACTGCAAATACCACATTTTTGCATGCATCAGAAACCACCAAATAAGATACACACCTTGTTTTGGGAAGGCAGAATGAAGAAAAGATTTTTCCAGTCATGGCTAAATTTCAGCTGCGTGGAACACAGTTAGTGTCACCTGCTCTTCCAAAAGCTAGAGACTGAACCAAGTCACAGTCATTGCTGAAATGACAGCAACTTTGGCTAAGCCAGTAGCTTTTAGCTGCAGACTCCCCCCACACTTGCCTCTAGCCAGCAAGGAGCAAGAACCAGGCAGCCATCCCTGTGCCTCCATTCTGGCATGGAAATCAGCTTCCTCACTTAAAACATGCATGCCCATTTTAGACGGCTAATTTTTGGGGAAAGGATGCACATGGTATGAGAGTAAACACAGTAATAAAGATTCTGCAGTTGATGAACCAGGAGTTTACATAGATTCCCACTCACTCCTCCCCACATATGCGAGGGCTTTGCAGGGCTAACGTATTAGTACCGTTTCTCTCATGTCATTTTAACACCTGAACAACACAGACTATGCAACAGGAAGTAAGCAATTCTATTCAATAAAGGAGCCATTGTTACATACTAATTTGTTCACAACTGCACTTCTTAAAAAAAAAATAATAATAATAATGGTGAAACATAAAAACAGTGAGGTTTCTAATGCATGAATCCTAGCATTTCACTATAATATTATACCAGCTGTCAAACACTCACCTCTTACAGAACTGACAGGTATATGACCATGTGAAGAAAGAAAACCTCCTTGTTCGACAACAGAAACAGAGCTAATAAAAACAGAATAGTCCACAAGGTTAGAGTCCACAAGGTGCAATGGGCCAGCACTTTTCTTTAGCATAAACAGCTTTTCTTCCTCTCAGGTTCTTAGACCCCTTGTGTTGTTTTCTATAAATATATCAAGAAGTTAAACACCAGAGAAGGAGAAGATCTATTCACAGAAAAAGACAATGCCAGAGCAGGAACAAAGAGGTACAATTCCATGATTTCTACTCTTTCAAACACATTTGGACATTTTTAAAAAAACAGAGAGGAGCTATGGCCTGGGACACCCACATTTTATTGGATTAAGTTTTACGCCTGTTATGCACAAATTCAGATTAAATTATAACAGTCCCTTGTGACCCTTAAATATATGACACATGCCTAGCCTTTGAAAAAACAGACTGAAGATGCATTTACTCTTAGGTCAATAGGCAGGAGTCCAGGAGAAGGAATGGAGACATGGTTAATATATATATTTATTTCTGATCTGCACTCTGTCAACTGAAGTACACTGATAGATGGGTTCTTTGTTATCACCCCTCATGAGGTCTCAAAATTCATGACTGCCCTGGCAATTTTTGTTTCATCTTAGCTGGCTACTTACAAGCCCCTGCTTCTTACAAGTCATGCCTAAGGTTCAACATCCCATGAGCATATGCACTTTATTTATCTTTTGAGAACAATGGAAACTTAAAATAATCCTACTTGCTTTAAAATTCAGAATGTAATAAAAATCAACCAAGCCAGGAGAAAAGATTCCTCACCAACTTCATTACAAATTAATTGGAAGAATTTACTGATGTGGCTGATTGTCTACTTTTCATAAAAAGGCTTTAATCAGTACTCATTCTATACGGAAAACTCTACAAAAGATTGGATGTGTGTCCATTTTTTAACTTTATCTGGTTTCAAAAGCTCCACTTCCTGTTATTGGAATATGACTGACAAGTGTTACAATGTTCCTTGTAGATAAGAACATCCATTTTATAGTGGGGGCTCGACACCTGCGTGAATAACTAAGACTGAGAAGTTGGCACAAAACAATGTAAAACCATTGGCTCTAATCATCTCTGTACACTCTACACACTTGAATGATGGTAGAAGGGAGTGGGGACACTTGACCCCTGGGGTCAGAGACTACATAACATGCGAATACTCTCCGGGAAGGGGTTATTGTCTGCCTAGCCTAAGTGTGCTGACCAAACCCATGATCAGACTGAGATCAGATGTGTGGGTCTATGTTCAGGATTTTTTGTTTTTCAAAGATTTGTTACTTTTAGTGTCCTTTGTTTAAAGGCCCATGGTTAAATCCTTGCACTAAGCCTATACTTCTTGCCTGCATGCTGGGCTAAAGGAGAAATTCAGAGTGCTCCAGTGTGGTAGAACATTTAATAACCATATCTAAGCACCTAGGTACTCAGAACAGCTGGGTCATTGGTTCTGGGATCTAAACAGCTAAGACAATGGAGTACTACTGTATAAAAACAATATCAGGTATAGCTGGAATCTAGATATAGGAACACTGACCAGTCACTACCCAGACCCAGCAGGCTTAGAAGCACAGGGACTCCAGCTGTTGGGACTACTCACAACATACTGCTGTCCATCCAGAAAGGGGGACTGGGCCAAGCTATGGCATATTCTACTGATTTCACTGGGAATTTTAAAGAAAGATGCTTACTATTACAGGCATTTTATTAGTCCTTCCTTTTCATCAATATAGAATGAGAATTGGAGTTATCAATTACTAATAAAAACCTGGAATCTCCATTCTGGTTCCAAGTTCTATGTTTTCACAGACTGGAATAAGGCACATGTGATCCACCTCCTTCATTAAGAGCTCTCAGTGGAATAACTGAACCAGGCTTACCTTTCCTTTCTTAAGGGCAGTGTAGATATCTTTATACTGCTGGTACTTTTCCAACTCTGCCTTCACTAGTACCTGACGGATATGCATGACTTCTTCCACAGTCAGAGCTAGGCATTCCACTGGGTAACAAAATTCCTCCTGTAAGTCAAAAATTGATATTACTATGAAGCCCATCTTTTCCAGAATCCAACCTAGAAAGCCAGCCACCTGGTTAGTAACTTCAGAGACAGAAGATTTCACCATTCAAACTGGAGTAGCATTGGCTGATCTATGGGCATCACATGAGCTTCAAACCAGCAAGGAGACTAGTTAAATGCAATTCTAATGGTCTGATATCCAGGTTTTACAGCACTGCAAACAAGAGAAATGTTCTCGTTTATTTCTCTGAGCACATACCATCTGATACCTGCATATATTTGCTTGCTTTATTATGAATTTATTATTATTAACCAATTATAATGTGTTATATAATTTAATAGGGCATAGGGTGATTTACTATACAGTTATAAAAAGGCAGTGCTTAGAGCTGTTGACCTTGGAAGTGTGTTGTTTATAAAAACAAGCCACTGCTCTGAAATTTTGTGGTGCCCAGAATAGCCAAAGAAAGCAGTTAGTAACCCACTCTAAGAGATTTTTTTTTTTATTCAGTGGTACCACACATTGATGATTGTTGATATAATCATATATTTGAAAATCTATGCCAAAATTATGAATGTGTATGGCTTTCCTTTCCTCCCAGAATGACAAAAATGGCAATTTAAATTTTCTGAAAATAATGTTAAAATATAAAGCTGGGCAAAATGGTTAATTCAATATTGTGTTTTTACTGACAGAGAACGACTCAGAGGTTCCAAATACTTCCTATTTGAGAAATTTCCATATATATTTAAGTACGTTCTTTCAAGGTAATTGCAACATTGAACATTCAGCATCTAATTTTGGCACCACAGAATAAAAAGCATCATTCCAGCCCTCTAGTTGATTACACAGTTCTAACAGAAAGACAGATGCTGCACTAGGAATGTCCATCCCTTTAGGCATTGTGCACCTTTTCAGTTAGCCCAGAGGGACTACTGTTGTAAAGTAACAATGCAATGTAATGTTCTTTGAGTAAATACAGGAAAGTTTTGTACTCACAAACACTTTGCTGGCAGTACCGTACAGGTAGTTTTGAAATATAATTTAGATAGCAATGTGATCATTCAGATTAGTTATAAAGTGGTATTCAATTTAGGTAGTATTCCAATTCCGTTCTGTCTTTCAATTAGGAAAAAAATAGATCTGTGTTGCAGCCCTGGCAAACATTAGCATTTAGGAACCACCACATTTTTAAGAACTGTTCTCTTACCTATCTAGAAAGGAAACACACAGAAACTTCACCCTGCTTAAAAGTACCCACAAACAGCTAAAATTAAGTTAATTTTGGTTTCTTTTAACAGCCAATCTTCCGGTTTGCATCTTCATTGAGGAAGCTTGGGTTTCTGGAAAACCCAAGCCATGCCAAATCCAACTGTGATTTGCTCTGAGAGGAGTAAAACTCCACAAGCAAAAAAAACCCACCCAAAACAAACCCTTTGCTTGTTAGCAACCTTTCAGCTAACCAGCAGCTGTCAGTATTGCATTCTAGATCCTTTCCATAAAAATAGCACTGATACATAGTATGCAGACTTTGGGGAGGATGGGAAGGAAGTGGATGGGCAAATGTTGGGCAGAAAATGTCAGCCGGAAACTTATTTTCTATAGTGTGAGATATTAAGGTGGTGTTTGCAGTAAACAGGACTGCATGCTTTTAATCAACCACAATTTTGAGTCTTTAAAAAGCTATTTCTTAACTGGAATCCCTTCCCCCTCCAAAAATGTACTTGGCATCAGATTTAGTTCTTTTTGTGGGCAACAAAATCTTTTTTATGATGTTTTTAAAGATCACTTTTTCACAGTTGATGACACATGATAAATACATGACATGGTGCAGTTTTAAAGCGCTAGTAAAGGCTTATTTAATTTGTGAATGTGCTATTTCATTGAAGATCTGTAGGTTTAGTACTTCGAGTAGCAGAAAAATGATTTGGATCTGTTCTTCCAACAACAACAACAAAAATCCTTAAGCCAAGTGTGAATAGCTACCAGGCAAAAAATAAAATTGCTAACATTTTTAAATGCTAATGTTTTAATTTGAGAGGTTAAACAAGGACAACAAAACTTTAATGCAACATTAAACAAAAGTTAATTGCCAGGCTGATTCTGCAGAATATTTGATTATTTTTCTTCTCAAAAGAATATTTAGTTTCAACCTAACTTCCGAAGTCTTGAAATTAAATGAATAGATATTAAACTAAGCACTGACTAAAGTTCCCCAAAATAATAACTTTTAGAGTTGCAGCTCAAACTCAGAATTTACATGGATGCAGTACGTCCTATGTCCCCTGTAATACTGATGCACAATAGATTATGTTAAGGACAGAATGTGACTTCTGAATTTCCTTGTTTTTCTGGGTTTGTACCCATTTTAATTTTAAAGTATTATTATTAAGAGAGAAAAAGTCACAATAAAAAATACTTTTTGTCCATTAATCTATTAAGGATTTATTTGCCATTTATTGAACACGCAGTCACAGCACACACCAAAATGCGTGGTTGTGGATAAATTTATATTTAGAACAATACACAATCTTAATTATATAGCCTTAATATGAAATAAGTGATTTGCAGATCATTCTTCGTATGCATTCATCTAAATAACTCACTATGAACATCTATTAGTAGTATATGTTTCCATACCAGTACATTCATCATACCACATGTATTGTAAAACTTATCACCACTTATGCAGATAAGTTGCAACAGTTAAGTATTGAATGATCAAGTGCTGGATGAACCCCATATTTATGCAACTCAGGTTAAACATTTTTAAATTCTTGACACTTAATATAAAACAGCTTCAGTTTGCAAAACCTGGCTGGATATCTCTAAACTACTTTCTCTTTTGCAGTAGGTTTCTAATTTCATTTTCTGGTTGAGGCCATACATGAGAGGAAAAATATACCAAATTTCAAATCTTTATATACCAAATTTTTAAAAAGATCTGATTCATATTCAATTAAAAATGGTTGTAGAGAAGCTCCTATGTTTTCTTCTGAAGTGGTTGGTTCACTTACCCTGGAAAAGACTAGCACTAATAATATTGAAAGTTCTGTTGTTTATAAAGGCTTTAAAAGCATTAAAGACCAAAACCATTTTTTGTGTTTCAAGTAACATTAGGTTTACAAATGGCATTGTGTTCTGTAATACCACATATAATGTTAAGGCAACAACATCTTAATCGTTTCACCTTAGTTCAGTTTAAGGATCATAATACCAATAGTTTTACTTGCTTAGGTTTCAGGATCTTTATAAACCGTGCCTTTAAGAATTGTCTTACTGACAGTCTTGTGATGTTGCATTTTTAGTTTGCTGTCCTTTCACAACTGATTACTTTTCCCCCATAAGTAATTGAAGCATGTAGATAGACATAAGTATCCTACAAACACTGAAATCAATTCTAAAGTCAAATCAATCAGGACTACTGTTGCAACCTAAGCTGCTAATTCTTGCACAGCTTAGGAAGTGCTCCCCTTATGGGGAACTAGCTTGTAAAGATTTCCAAAGCCAGCAGAAAGAGGCAAACCTTTGCGGGTTTCCATCTGCTGGTAAAAGCTCTCTCACAGAGATAATACATAGCCCCTGCCACCCCAAACATGGCTGCTTCAAAAGGATGAGAGTTGAACAAAGAAGCTGTTTGTATGGTTGAAAAAAGTGGCCTGAAAGTCGTCCTTGGAAAGAGACTGGTTATCCTAGGAACCTGAACAATAGATATAGGAAGCAGAAAAAGGAACGCGAAATATAAGTGACAATGTTAGCAGGGATTCTGGCTAATGAAAATAAGAAAAACCAAAAACACTTTAACATGTACACTGGTGGCATCTTACTGTGTAGGTACAAAGCTGAGCAACATCAACAAGCATGCCATAACACGAATTCTCAGAAAAGTAGTGAATGATGTAACCAATTTTTCTGAGTTTGTTTCTCCTCCCCACCCAAGCAACTTCAGCAGTAATTCCTTCAATGCGTTTGAAAGGTCAGTTCACAAAAACACCGTGTGCAAAACAGTTGCTTGCTAATCCTGTTAAAAAGCTCCACAAATGGCCTGCCTGCTTTTCACTGACACAGGTCTATTTACTGATGAGCTCTTTCACCTTCAAGGGGAACTGCAGTCACTGGAACAGATGATAAGAAATGAAACTCCATCAATCCTGGAGGAAGGGATGAAGAAGTGTGAAGTCAAATAAAAAGAAAATAATATATTTAATTTTTTGTGGCTCTGACTCAAGGAACTGCAGTATTAAGAACTAGTGTCCGGTTCAGAAACTAGACAGCAGCTTTCATGAGTAGGACTTTTGTGTCAGGGTGCAGTGGCTAGCTAATTTACAGTCACAGTACCAAAACACTGTATTGAACTAAGCAAAAAACCTTCTTCTGGATAATTCTGCACACCATTAGGGAAAAAACTGCTAAGATTAACAAATAAATTCATCAGCAGCTAAGAAAAAAAAGTTCAGTAAAAAATCATCACCACCATTTTCTTTTCCTACACAAAAATGTTGCTAGCAAGTGGGCTGGGGGAAGACCAGCTCCTAAGAAGTAAAGAAAATAAAAAACCAAAAAACAAATCATTCTTGCATGCTCTGAATATTTTTTATGTAACACACTTTGGACTCCTTCAGACATTTTCCTGCTTTTGCTCAATTCTACCTCTGCGTAAGCCAATTAAGATTTAACTGTATTGGTTTTATTATACACATGAGGGGCCCGATCCTTGTGCCAGTGTAGCCCTGGCCCCTTCCCCACTGTCCACCCCAAGGTGCACATGCCCAGCAAAATGCCTTCGCATGCTACACTGGCCCCCATGCTGGGGTTGCCTGCCCTGATCTAACTTGTTTAGATATCTGAAAAGTGTAAAACAGTCAACACCTCAAGGTAAGACATATTGCTTTTTCCCCTTTTAATGATGGGCCTGTGAAAGCCTGTAGTTCCCCAAGTAAAAACATTTCGTGATCCAGAGTGACAGCCAAAATTCTCTTTTCACTGCTCGTGTCCCAAGCAGCCCTGAGGGAAACGCTCCTCTCAAGTCACTCCTTAAGCTAACACTTGGGCAAAGAATTCTAGCTGTGCTGCACGTTCCTTAAGCTGCGAGCCAGGACTCCAGAACGCCATTCACATAGGATCATACATTGTAGTCAGGGTAGAAGTGTGGTAAAGAGAGGCAATTTATTCCTTGCAGAGAAGTGGGTGAACCTTCCCCGGTATATTTGAAGACTACGTAATTGCTACACTTCAACCTTCTCACCTTGATGGATTTGCACTATAGTCAGCCACTCTCTCGGGCCACAGAAAAATAACACAGAGTCCCTTCAAAGCCCATTAGTGCCACTTAAGTAAGAGCAAGGACTGGCGGGTACTCCCTCCCTTTTAGACCGGGAACGCTTCCGTAAATCTACCATATGCTAAAACTTCAAAGCAGCACGTTGAATCCCAGGTGATAAGGAAAATAAGAGACTAGGAACTGAACCTGGGCATCTGACACAAAGTAGCAAAGCTGTATTCATCATGCCAGGACAAAGAGCCAACTTTTCATCTCCTGTGCCATTTATGCTCTGCAGGAAAACAGGTCTCAATTAAAGTTATTTGTTCAAATGTACTGCACTTTCTTCTCAAGTAGCAAAACAGTTTTTGCCTTAGTGACTCCAACAATGCAATGTGGTCACAACTGATATAGATGCTCGACATCTTTTACATACACTTTAACCATATTAGTTATTAACATGGGAGGAAGAGAACCCCTATTCCATGTGTTTACACATGAATGACAATACTCCAATAATAACAACATAGATTGACTGCTTTGAAATTGTGTCATTTCAAATGAAATATCTGTCAATTATAAGGTAGGTCAGTTTCTTCACCATGCTGAAATTAAAAAACAAATTAATGGGCCTCAGTTACAAAGCTCAAATCAGAAGCCAAATCTCTTCAAAGTCCTGAGGTATCTGAACCCAGGAGGTTTGGTTTAATATTTTAGAGGAAGTTCAAATTCTGAATTCCCCTAAAAATCCCCCAATGTCTAAAACTGGGTTTGTAACTGGGATCTTGCTTTGGATCCAGCTCTAATAACACTGTAGCCAGGTTTTAATTCTATATAAACTACTAGAAAACGTCTCTCACTTATTGCAACTATAGCGTCATTGGCCTTCTCACTCTATCGCCAACATTCAAAGATAACCCTGTACTACTTACAAGTGATCTTGAGCTCTGTTTAGAAGGTGGCAGGAATTGTCTCACATTAGTTGGAGTTTCCTTTTCAATTGAGTGTCGTCTCTGAGGAGGTTGCCGCCTCTCTGGCTGAGGTGTAGACGATATTGGCAAGAACTTCGGAGGCACTAAAGAGTCAACCAGCAGAAGTTAGCTCTAATGAAAGAACTCTGAAATAGTATTGTTCAGCAACGATAATAGCCATAGTTTTGGTGGGAAAAAAAATGGTTAGATGTCACAAATAGTTGCCAAAACAACAGAGTATCTCCATGCAGCTGTCAATGGACAACATTTTCAACCTGTCTGAAATGAGCACACTCACAAAAAAGGGGTTTCTTACTCTAGGAACAGCCTCATCAATTAACACCAACCTGCTCCATCTTTTTGCAAAAGACATTAAGGCAAAGTTCATATGACAGAAAACAACAGGAGGTAGGAGAGTGAAACAGCTTAGCCGCATTTCATTTAAACAGGATTGTCTAGATACTGAGCACTTACTCCTTCTGCTCTCTTGAGAAGCATCTTCCAATTGTGTGGGAGACGCACTGCTGCTGCTTGCTGATTTGTGCATAGATTCCTCCTGGGAAAAAAAAAATTGGAAGAGTTAGAATTCCTCATACTCAGTCTCTCTCTCTTACTCCTACATGCAAAACTAACAATGTCAGTGGTATATTACATCATTAAACCACTTGTCTTCTAAAACACTTTAAGAAAAATGTTGAAGTTAGGCAGTCTTGTGTAAGTATATCTTTTGCTGCAAATTGGAATGTATGGCACACAGCTCAAGAGCTCAATATATTCAACTGCATTATAAAGACCAAGAATAGACCCTGAGTGTTGTAATCTGCCTTTTCCTTAAGTAACTGCTTGGGATACTGAGGGCCTAGCAGATGTTTTCAAACACAGTGCCAAATTAATTCAAGTTTATTATTTTATAGTGGCAAGAAACAAGCACGTGGCTTTTTCTGGTCTCCAAAGGAATGAAGCGTGACCCTAAGACAACATATGACTCAGTAAAGACAAATTAATCTAATCACTTATCTTTACTACACTGTTCTCTAATCTCTAATTCTCATGCATTTCTCCTTTCTTCTGTGCTTAAAGACACTTCATTCATTAGGTTAAGTATGTTCTTACCGCAGCAACCAAGGACTACCCAAGTGGTGGGAGATTAATGAGAGTGAAATAGGCTTTGACTAACACCTTTCAGTTAATGGGTGTCTGAAGAGTTCTGCTTCCTGATGAGTTATTAGCTTTATAAACTGCCCTTACCTATAACCTGTTATTTAAATACTCAATACAAAGAACTTATAGGATATTAATGGTGCTTGCAGAGAGTAAATAGGGTTGAAGAAATGGTTGTGAACCCTGTTCAGGTTTAAGATAAATGTTCTTAATAAAGAAGGCTCGATATTACAAGTGTCTGTAGAAAGAACACAGGATTGAAGAAAAGGTTGGGGACATGGTTCAGTTCTAAGACAAATGCCCTTGGCAAAGGAGGCTTGTACGCAGTTACCTTTTATACTCTTGGGTTTACAAGTCAAACAAAGTGACTCAGTCAGAAAACAAACAAGCAACTGAGGCTCCCTTCCAGGGACAGACTTAAAGTCACATGAATCTCAAGCAGGAAAGTCTGTAGTGACTGAAACAATGCCTCTTCTAGTTATGGAAAATCAGAAGGGAAAGTTGTCAGAAATATCACATGAACAAAAGGCGCCACAGGCCAGGAGGCGTCACAAATTATGATCAGGTGATCTTCTATGCAATAACCAAGTAAAGGTCACAGCAAAAATTTCAAAAGAGTTGCATGAAAACTTAAAAGCAATCTGAAAACATTCAACAGATCGAAAGGAGGGTTCCCAGACACTCCACCACAGCCAATTAGTGTAAACATCGTGAAAAAGAAGAATTCCTGTTCAAACTGCAATGGTGAACTTTTAGCTTTCTGAAACTTAAAACTTATGAGGCAAAAGGTACCAAAGACTACCATACAGTCACAAAGGTGACTATTTATTTTGTCCATAAGCAGAGGAAATAAGCAGGTAAAATATTAAGATAAAGATTTTTTTTTTAAATCTGCCAGTACTTCTTTTATTTAATTTTGAATAACTGTTGCCACTCTCCACTCAATCTGTAAAAGCAGAGAGGTGCCAGAGCCTGTGGTTCAGGCTGGAAGAAAAGCAGCTGAGAGAGACCTGGCTCTGTGGCATGGGACCCCCCCCACCCCACAGGAGTGTGGACAAAAAAAAAAAATTAAAGAAATGTAAGCCATGACTCTCTCCCCATTCCTCCTCTCTCACAAAAATGTCATTCTAAGCAAGTGAAAACATTGGTGCTTATTTGTGCTGAAAAGTTTGGCTTTTGTCTTCTGGGGTTTTGTTCTCTGAGCTTTTGTTCTCCTTTTTCTCTGCCTTTTTATTTTTGCCATTAAAAATTTGTCACTGGAGGAGGCTGGGGAGGGAAAAATAAATGGCAATGCTGAAAACAGCAATAGGACACTCCACCACATTCTTTTATTTTTGTAAAGAATGAAAAAATTGCAAACCATGAACATTTCTAATTATATCTTCTCATTGAAAAAAACTTCTGACGTTTGTTGTTGAAAAACACCTCTTAAAATGTCTGACGATTTCTTATTCTACTTTAGAAGGTAAATGTGGGATTTAGTCAGACGCTGCCTTACCCCAATTGGCCAGGCCACGGGTTGCCAATCTTTGGTACATGTGCCGAAAGTGGCACAGGCAGCCTGTGTGTGTGGTACATGGTAGATTAGGGGCAGGCAGCACAGCAAGAGATAATACAGGAAGCAGCAAGCAGAGCACCAGATCAGAAGTGGGGGAGAAAGCAGAGCAGATCAGGCAGCAGAAAGGGACTGAAGTGGCACCAAGGAGGGTGCAAGACTTAATTTGTGCTAGGCCTGCCAAAAAGATTGGCCCCCACTGGACTAGGCTATGCAGTAGACAGATGTCCTCATTCTCTCGTCCACTGGCATCAGTGGGAATTTTGCTACTGATTACTATAGAATTGAATGGCCCAGAATGGTCTGCTGTAATTTGTGTTGCTTCCCACTTTGTGGAACTGCTGCTCTTTCCACAAATTGGGAAGCTGGGGGCAGCTCTGACCAAGCAACCACCTATCCAGGTACCACAGAGAAGTAGGATGAAAGTGGCGGACAACAAAACTATGAAAATGAGATTTCTATCTACTGCCTATGGCAGACCCCCTCAGGATCCAACTTCTTTAAGCAGTAGAAATGAATGGATTTGCAGCTGCTTCAGTGGTGGGATGGACTCTGCACAGAAGCAACAGACGTCAAACATGACTAACCTGCTTCGGGAAGAACGAGAGCTATGGATATAGTCACGTTACAAAAATGCCAAGTCGGCTTAGGTAAAAATATCCCATGTTCATATTTTAAATTACTTTTCCCTCCCTGTAAGCCTCATGTGCAATGAGTATATGAACTATTGTGTTGCCCTGTGATCACTAGAGAGAGCTGCAGCCTCTCAAAAAAATATTAGCAAATCAGGTAGAGTAATTATTAGTAAATCTTGAGAGAAATTTACATATACTAGTATTGTGCTGTTGATTTTTAATGTAGACAGAGGCAACACTATACCAGAATCTTTGATCAGACACTTCTGGACACATTTGGATCTAGAGCCAAATAAGCACAGCCTCATATCTACTCAGAAAACCCAATCTATGTTAACATTTTCAGGGGCTCTACGTTAATGCCTGTGTTGTCTACACACGCCCTTAGAGGCATGACCCCAGAGGTCATCTAAAGGTATCACTGCTACTGTCATCAGGTGAACTCATGTGTGTCCCATTAGGAGATTATTTCTATAATTCTTTAAAATACAAAGGGTAGGAGAGTATGGCTCCCCTAAATCTCCTACTCAGACTGAGACTCAAATTACAATAACAAATTAGAAGAGAACGGGCATGCTTGTTTGATATTTAGCCTCGCAAGCAACTGGGCAGGGAGGGAGCTGCAAACCTCCAGCTGCTTAGATGTACAGGGGAAGGTAATTGCCTAGTGAGGAGGGAGGAGAAGCTTAGAAAACAAACTCCTCCCCAGTACAAAGGGAAAGCCGGGAAAGAATTGTGACTGAGGCACCACTCATCCTCTGTTCTGCTGGGGTGGTACAGCTACATGCCACCTCTTATTTATGGAGGACTGTAGTTATAATTAAACTCCTAATGAGTAATTCTAGAGAGACTAAGCCAATTCACTCCCTGTGCAGTTGTAAGCATGGAAGTGTCTGAGTCATTCATAGGCCATTAGAATACTGCATCCGCCCCTGGTTATATATACCACAAATTAGGTCAGCAAAGAAATATATTTCAGCATCTCACTGCTCCTTTATCCTCTACAGCAGTGGGGGGCAACCTTTTTGACAGACATGACACAAATTAACTCCACACCTTCAAGTGCCACTTTGATCTCTTTCTCTTACCCAATCTAATTTTTCAACTTTCTGTTCCCTGACCAACCTGCTGCTCTGCTTTCCATTTCCTGCCCTATGCTCCCTGCCTGATCTGATGCTCTGCTTTCTGCTCCCTGTTCTGCCAGTGTACTGTCTGTACCCTCCCCAATCTGCCTCATGCCACACACACCAGTGCCACAGGTTGGCCACCCTTGTTCTACAGCATTCTTCAATTTTTCTGTCAGTTTAATAACTTCCTTCTGAGCTTTCCAATTAATCTTTTTTACTATTTTAACACTGAACATAGCATTACACCTAAGGCACAGCCACTACAGTAACAAAGCAGCCCAATTACCTTGGTTGTTTCACAGTCTACTTCTGGTCATTCAAACCAAGATAGCACTTTTTTTCTTTTTTGCAGTTTCATTGCATGGTCAACTTACTTTCTATTTATCTTCTGCTGTATCCCTCAGAGCCTTCTCTAAATGACACTCCTGCACAGAGAGAATTCCCCAGCATATACTCAAGCGTTTGATTATTCGTGCCTACAAGAATCAGTTTACATGCATCTTTACCAAATCTCTTTTTATTGATTTCAGCTCATTTCTCCAAGTCAAATACGATAGATTAGCTTGGGAGGAAATGCAGCAAACTGCAAGCTGGGAGACCATAAATTCTAGTCCTGGCTCTTTCACTTACTGCTGCCATTACTTATCTTGCAGTGTCTTTTTTATTAACAAGATCTCATGCACTTACTATTGTTCACTCGTTTATAGAAAGATGAGAAGTTATACTTCAGGCCAAGCTGGAAATACAGCCCAAGTCTTATCCATTCGGTTGCACCGGCTTTCAACAAGAACATGTCAAACTATCACCTGTATAACTCCCACTAATATAAAGAGAACCTGTCACCATCTAAAAGCTAGACCAAAAAAGAGGTTTATAACAGTTTAACTGAGGCTGCCTTTAGACTAACAGACCTGGTTCTTAGTATAAGTGATAAGAAACTCATACTTTTACATCCAAACACAGGTACCAGATGACCCACAACACAGTTACATGCAGCTATGCTTCCTTAACCTCAGCAACAGACTGTGGTCCCAAAACAGGTGTAAAAATTAAGGATTCATCATTCTATTGCTGCCATACAAATGGCTGTGTAACCTGCCTTGTAAATCTTTCCAGGTTGATCCCCGTAACAGGTACTAGTGCATTTTCTTTACAAAATACTTGTACAACTTAAGTGAAAAGTCTGTACTGATGATTTGCAGTTTGTGGGTCCAGACCCTGCTGATGACATATTTAGAAATGAATTTGGATGTCATGGTAATACTTAGCTCATTGTTCCTTTTTTAGCATTAGTATTTGGTCAGTGGGAGGTATCTTATTAAAAACTGCAAAGAGTATTTAACAGACAGAGCAACGTGCAGGTGATTTAGCCTGTCTCCCTTCTCCAGAATGTATTGTCATTACTCCTTATGGTTTTGATAATGATCTACATAACTTTTTTTCCTATAGCTCATCTGGTCTCTGGCTGAGTTAGCTGGACTCAAAGCCATTCCCATTTAAAGGAAGTTTGACCGCCCTCACATACACCAATTTGATGGGTCCCAGATGCAGCTCCCACATCACTTCAGTATTCCTCTATCTACTCTGCCCTTATTCATACGCTCTTCCAGACAGCCCAGAAATAAGCCCTTACTATGGGTTTGTTCAGAGTACAGCACAAGAACTTCTACATGGGAGCCAACATCATGTTATTTTCAACATATTTACAGAATTGCCAACCATGGCATTACATACACATACTGTTAGCATATACTGGGAATTAAAGAAGTAGATAAAAGGCCCAAAAGATTAAATCATATTTAAGACATCTGGGGAGGCTGAATTTTGGGGAATTGGCAATACTGTGATCCAGTCCTCATTATAACTTAAAAAGTCAACAGCAATGGCCACCACCACCTATGAATTCATGAACTCAGATTATTTTGTCCATCGAACAGTAGTTAAATTAAATTCTGAAAGTAAGCCGAGCACAAAAATGTCTTACCTCTGAATCTGAACTGTCCAGTTCAGCTAAGGTAGGGGCTTTAAGGAGTCTCTTTCGCTGTCCTGTCACTTGGGTAGTGCCAAGACCTTTCAGCTTTCCTTGGGGTGTCAAGCCACCATTCACTATGGAGCTATCTGCTAATTTTCTTGAAGACTCTGGAGTGGATACATCTGACAAAAGAAACAGAAGGACTGGAATTTTGACTTTGGCAAGGCTATGTATTTGGGAAATAAACTTGCAATGCTCCTTTCAGATTTTACTGCCAATGCAGCACATACAGAGAACTACTGTTTTGTGATAGTCATATGTGTAGTAATTTTACAAAGCTTAGAAAATTACAAGCCATAGCATGTGGTGCAGACATGATGTAAAGAAATGAAAGAAGTGGAAGACAACAGTAGTTCACTTTGCAACTTTCTTGCTTTCTTTCTACTTCTTAAATAAAAATGCCTCCATTTAATTATTTTCTACAATTAGCTTCTATATCACGAGCCAAGGAACAGAAATGCCCCACCTAAGCCAGACAAGTGGATCCTCAGTGTACACTGAGACTATTCTATATTGGCATGTTGACACAATACATACACGAACTGTCCCAAGTGAGGGTAAAATTACCCTTTGTTTTTATATATACAAAGCAACAATGACAATGAGTTAAACAACAGGAGCTTGTCTCAAATGTGAACAATTTCATGTTTACATTTTAGTTTGTATTAAAAATGTGCATCTTTGGTCACGTTTTGCATGTAGCAGTGGAGACATGAAGCCTGATTCCATTTTCATCTACACAGGTTTTACATGGGCATAATTCCACTGAGCGCAATAAAATTATCCTGGATTTTTCTCCAACCTAAGATCAAAATGAAGCCATATAATATAAGCAGGTCTGCTCTGTTCAGTCCAAACCTACAGATGACACCTTAGTTTTGAACATAATAAGGGAGGGAGGAGGAGGTTTTGACATTTATTTTTGTTTCGGTAAATGAACAGAGAAAATGAGGAGTTTCAAAATGATAAATTAAAAAATATATTCGAGGGAAGATGGTTCGATAAATAACTCCCCTTCCAGTCCTCATTCATAGTTTCATAGATATAGGGTCGGAAGGGACCTAGATCTTCTAGC